CAGAAAGTAGATTAGTAGTTGCCAGAGGCTGGAAGGGGATGAGGAAATTGGGGGATCATGGCTAAAGAGTGCTGGATTTCTCTTTAAGGTGATGAAAATGTTCTAAAATTGACTGTAGTGATGTGATGGACGCACCGATCTGTGAATATACTAAAAGCCACTGAACTGTACACTTCAAATAGATGAATAGCATGGTACATGAATTACATCTCATTAAAGTTGTTAAAAGAAACACACCCAAGGGCTCAGCACCAGCCAAGAAGGATGCTGAACACTGCTTGAAATGTCCTACCACAACCCCCAAAGGCCAAGGGGTCCCACTTAAAACTTTCATGAAGGGTGAGGGGAGTGGCAACAGGGAAGAGACTATAACTTGCTTCAGAGCAATGAGTCCAACCTCCCTCCTCACCACTACCCATTTCATGGAGGGAGAAACCAAGAACCAGAAAAGGGAACTGGCTGAAGACCACACAAAAGCTTACTGCAGAAACAGGACTGAAATCCACATTGCCTGGGAAAAGACCCCTTCCTGCTTTCCCACCAGCTAGCTACCCAATTCCAGTTGGGGTAAGAAGAACCCAAGAAATCAGCAGGTTCCTAGATGCCAAATGAAGGGCTTTTGCTACCAAAGATAGGTTACTAGGAGTGGACAAAGGCTCCTAGGAAGAACGAAGATGAACCTGGGGCAAACTGCCCATTCTGGGCAAGAGGAAGAACCAGTCAAGGTCCAAGGTGAGCAAGATCAGAGACACCTGGGCATGGACAAACTTTTGCAAAAAGGGCAGCTGAGGGGGGAAGTAGTTTACCTAAAGCTATAAAGCAGGTAAGGAGGAGGTGCTGAAGTCTGGAAGGTGATGAGAGAATTGAGGGATGATGGCTCAAAGCTTGCCTTGCTCCAAAGCCCCAACTCCACACACAACTCTACCTCCACACCACTATCCAACAGGCCTCCTGACAGGAAATCCCACTGAGCTTGTTCATTACAACAGGGCTGCCCACAAAAAAAGGCTGTTCATCCACCGTGAGCCTCACACAAAACAGGCTGCTTGTCCTGCCCACCAAGCTTGGATGGCTGAGAGGGAACAGAGGAGCCAGGAAGAGAGGGAAGAAACCCAGTTCCTCCTCAAAAGACATCCACCATTCTTTGCCACCTCCAGGTCCAGAGAGCTTTGGACTGAGTTCCCTAAAATCCCAAACAACACCTCACCAGCATCTTGCCTGGCCAGTAAGGAAACTGAGGCCCAGAGCGCATAGCTAGAACCTACCCTGTTTCATCCAGCAAAGCCCTGAAAGACCCAGAGTTGGAACCCAGGCATCAACTATGGTGCCACGCTTAGCTTTTTCCACCACCTCAATTCACATGCCCCTTCTCAAAGAGTTCTGTGGGGTCTCCAAACTTAGGATGCTTACAGGCCAACCTTTTCATAGAGCAGACTCTCAGCAAGACAGCCATGCCTGGGAACCCCTGACATCACCACCCACCCAGCACCTGGACCCCACGGTGCCAAAGACTCCTAAAGGAAGTAGGGATACAAGAGAATCAGGACAAAGAGGAAGCCCAAGTAGTCAGAACCCCAGAATCGCCATCCAGACTCCCTCTTAATGACGCCTCTCCTCCCAAGGGATCCAACTGACCTCCAGGCTACAAACACCCCTAGTGATAGTTTAGGACCAAGACTGGGGTGGCAGGAGGAATCTTCCCTCTTCTCATCCCCAAAAGTTCTCAAGTTGGACCAGGTGAGGCAGGGAAAAGAGGATCACCTTATTTGTCCCAAAAAGTGTGGGGACAGAAAGCCTCTCCTGTCATTGGGAAGGGCAGGTTTCATGAACCCACAGAACTTGATTTTCATATTCTGTTTTTTAATTAATAAAGATGAGGTCGGCCGGGCGCGGTGGCTCACACCTGTAATCCCGGCACTTTGGGAGGCCGAGGCGGGCGGATCACGAAGTCAGGAGATCAAGACCATCCTGGTGAACACGGTGAAACCCCATCTCTACTAAAAATACAAAAAAATTAGCTGGGCGTGGTGGCGGGCGCCTGTAGTCCCAGCTTCTAGGGAGGCTGAGGCAGGAGAATGGCGTGAACCCGGGAGGCGGTGGAGCTTGCAGTGAGCGGAGATCGCGC